TGGCACCTTAGAGACTAACAAATTTATTTGGGCATAAGCTTTCATGGGCTAGAACCCACATCATCAGATGCATGGAGTGGAAAATACAGAAGCAGGTGTAAATACATGAAAAGATGGGAGTTGCCTTACCAAGTGTGAGGTTAGTCTAATGAGACAATTCAATTAACAGTAGGATACCAAGAGAGGAAAAATAATTTTTGTGGTGGTAATGAGAGTGGCCCATTTCAAATAGTTGACAAGAAGGTGTGAGTAACAGTAGGGGGAAATTAGATTTAGGTTTTGTAATGATCCAACCACTCCCAGTCTTTCGTGAGAGAAGCAAAGTGCATTGGTGGGGAGGATGAGATGGGAACTTTCAAATGTCAATTCTTTTCAGTGGGTTTTTACTGGGGGAGAGGAAGGAGATTTATCCCCATTCCCTTCTCTTTGTTTGGGCATTGCCCACCCTCTAAGATTTCAGACAGGTCTTCATTTTATTTTCATCATCCTGTCCTCTTTTCCCACTTCTTTATCCTTTCTTGTTTCCCCCACTCCACTATGTAACATTAAGTGAGATTAGTATGATAAGTAGTTAACTAAATACAACACCTCTTACTTAAGAGGAGCATGTAATTGTGTCAGATCTGCTCACTTAAGTGAACAGAATATGCCTTTACTCCTGCTAGCACAACAGAGGCCACAAACTTACAGTATGAGCTAGAGTCTATTATTCCTGCACATCAACAGAACTAAGAATTTCTGACCGATGCCTACTCACTGGATGGCCTTGAAGAAGAAGATTTCTACTAACTCTTCTCCCTCCTACCAGTCAAAAAAGAAGTGGCTCAATGCCTAACCCACAAGAGATGCCGCAAAGATTAGTGGTTGCACAGCACGTTGATAATGTTAAACTCTACTGTTATAGGCTATTAGTGACACTTACAAGGCCCAATGACCATAGACAAATTATTCAGCATTGTCCTTCCCCTAGTCCAATTCAAACAGTAGAGGGGTGCGGGTGATCTCCATTTTGACATTAAGTTTAATTAGACAAAGTCACAAATTGTATTTTTTTCCAGTTTATTGATGATTTTTGTATTTTCAATGAAGAACTGCATTAGTTGTCTCAGGAAATCTGGAGGTTCTAACAGCTGAATAGGAGCAAGTGAAGCTTGACACCCATGAAGGTGTGGTAGCTAGGTTAAGTTTTTGGCATTCAGCTGGTTGCTTGCCTAAAAAAGAAGGGGGGAGAAAGCTCTGCATTCCCTCTGCAGTATGAAAAGCCCAGCCCAGTCCCCGCTCACTAGTTTTTCTAGTTTTACAATCAGATTTATCAATTTGAAAATCCTTCTCTGTTGTGAGAAAGATTCACATGAGGAGGTAATACACCTTGTCACAATCCCGCACTGGTGAGGCCAGGGTTAAGGAGCTGCTCTAGATACAGGAAGCCACACCCCCTCGCCTCTGCTTGGCGGGAGCATTCAAAAGGGAGCAGCTCAGCTCAGTCTGGGCTGACTGAGG